CACACACACACCAATAATATGCTACCATGAAATCCCAAGATTTTAGAAGAAGAACGTACGAAGGAAACAAACATCTAGATCAACCCAGCCCAGTGTCAACCAGCTCAGTGTCGCGAGGAACGCAAATCCCAGTGGGACGTCGAGCGCCCAGTGCCAATAAGACTAGTCGCTTCTTGCTCCTAGTAGTACGGCCGGGAGCCTAGTAGCGTCCTTGCTCCTAGTAGCGATGCCAGGAGCCCCTAGTAGCTTCTTGTCGTATTTGAGCCTGCTCAGTTTCCGGAGTGGCCTCACACCTGAGTGGGTCCACGAATGGGTGTGCGCTCGTTCATTTCTGGGCGGGTGCAAGGTGTGGCGCGGAAAGGATTGGAGGAAAGCGATTTGGAAAGATGTGACAAGACTCTACGAATGCATTTTTTCCTCTTGTAGCTTCTTGTTCCTAGTCGCTTCTTGCTCCTAGTAGTACGGCCAGGAGCCCCTAGTAGCGTCCTTGCTCCTAGTAGCGATGCCAGGAGCCCCTAGTAGCTTCTTGTTCCTAGACCAAAAACATCTATATTGAAATTTGGGTATATTTTGGTACTAATGCAGCTCGACAGTCCTGTTCCTTTCCGCGTGATACTTCCCCCCTGCTTGGCTCACGGGCTTGTGCCACCCTGCTTGGCTCGCGACTTGTGCCACGACTCCAGCATCAGACTGAGTTGAGGCTGTGGAAAGTTCTGTGTGACTGCTGATCGACATGTGTGGGATTGTATTCCTGGCAGTTCTTTTTGAGTCTCAATCCAATACAGTGACACCACTACACGACTATACTGACTATACTTATTTTATTGTATTACAGATGTATATATGAATTCTTTGTCCATGCTATTTCCAATTCTTTTCTTCGCGCTATGCGGCTCAAGTCTTTTAGGCAAATTTTTGGGGGTGTGGCAATTCGATGCCAGGCAGAGGCCTTGGACTTTTGAGTTGAAACACGCGCGAGCAGTTGCGAACAAGTTCCGAAGCTCAAAATCTTGGATATGTTCTGATATTTTGTACACAGATCCCATCACTTTTCTTGGTCATAAAACTATCGTACCGTTCGCCACAATAACCCCCCCCCTTCCGTGGTCCGAAACCGAAGGATTCACCCTTCCCTCGCTTCCGGTCTCCAGGGTCTCCAGGGACCGGTGGGATGGGCTCCTCCCGTCCAGGATGGGCTCCTCCCGGCAGACCACCTGCTGGAGGAGCAATGAAGTGAGCCTGGCCAGGGATAGCCTGGCACCCGGTCTTTTCGCGGAGCGAAGGATGAAAATAGACAGCGCGAAACTTGGTGAAGAACGTGGTGAGCGAGCTGGAGGTTTAGCGGTTTGGACCGGAGCACCGTTGGGGTGAAGGATGAGGTGGAGCCAGTACTGAGGCTTCAATTGCATTGTGGCACGCAAGCGGCTCGACGTGACAGATGTCATGATTAAGCACATCAACATGGGCCGGCGAGGGCCTTGAACATCCTTGAGAAAAAGAAGAACGAAGGAAAGGGATTAAAAGACAGTTTTGCAAAGATCTAGAATCTAAAGTCTAGAGGAAAACAGAAGAATAACAAATCCCAAAGAAAGAAACAGTACGTCAAAGATATCTCATGGACATGCTTGTCTTCGGAAGATTCTCTCAGAGCTTCAGGCGAGCTGAGATGAGTCCACGCAGCTCCCATCGATGCACACAGGTCAAGGAGCTGCGAAAGCCCGCTGAGAGGCTCGCCCCGAAAGCTACATGAACCATTGTCAACGAAAGAACTTGCAGATTTCGGCCCGAAGGAAGGATGCGAGAAGTGCAACAATGCAACATTTTGTCCACGCAAAGTTTGCTGTGAACGCTGTTTCTTTGGCAATGTCAACTGTGATTTGTGTGCAGGTGAAAATGGCCAGTGTTTCCAACTAGAATTGTCCATTGCCCAACTTTCGGTGGTGTTTTGCACCATCACGACGTTTCATTGATGTTGTGTATCATTTGACTTGAGTGCCACCTTGTCATGCGTGCCACGCATTTCTATTGTTGGTATCTCAGACGGGGTGACTACTAAAGCGGTTCGTCCTTTTGTGTTGTGCTGCTTTGGTCACTTTTAGGAGTGCTTCGTGGTTGCCAACTTCATGTCTCTGTGACGTCACGGTAGTGGCGGCAGTGTTTGATTGTTGTGGTCCTTCTGGTCGTCTATGGCAGATGTTTAGCAGCACAAACAAGAATGGAGTAAACCAGGAGCGACATGACCTTCAACATCCAACTAGATTTCCACATTTATACTGTAGAAATAACCCCCCCCAAAGATCTACCTTTTCATTTGTTTGTAAAACTTTTTTCCAAGCAAGGACTTGGTTTGCCTGTATTTGCGGTGTTTTCGTGTAATTTTCAGATATATATGTATATTTAATTATGGTTCAAGAAATATTTGAACAGTTTTTGAGTTTGTGGGATACCTTGTCCCCCACAGGGTCACCTATCCAAAGTTTTTTTTTTTTTTAATTTGAAGGAAACCAACATAAAAAACAATGAACACCAACCAAAAAATCTTTCAGGCTGAAACCAACGATTCTCCTCAGAGTTTTGTTTCTTTTGTTTGGGTTTTGGAAGTCGAGCCACTTTGGAGACATAGAGTTCGCAGTTTTGGTATTTGGTTTTCCTCGAGACATAAAAAGATCGATATACTGTATCCGTATTCAACCTGCATCTGTATTCTGCGTGGTATTCCATTGTTTCTTCTTAATGCTTGAACGAAGGCGTCCTTCTCCAGCAATCCATAGTTAACAACACCTATCAACTTATTCCAGTTGTTTTCTTCTTGATTATTAGATGCTGTATGTTGTTTGTGTTCACCAATTGTTATCTTTGTAATTGACATTGGGTGTTTTACCGGATTCATTGCCTGATAGATTACATTATAGTTCTGTTGAATAACATTACATCATTTGCCAAAGATTGAATTTGCTGAATACAATAAAATAGAGTCAGTTAACTTATAATGCTCGCAGAGATTCTACTAGTATATTGGGTGTGCACTTAGAACCGAACGTTAACATCCCAACCCATAGCACCCCACACCCCACCCCACCCCACCCCACTCAATTTCAGTCGTATTGTGCAGCGTAGCATAGAAGAGTTTCTAATGTATGGGTGTGCACTTAGAACCGAATGGTAACATCCCACCCCACCCCACTCAAAGTCAGTCGCATTGTGTAAGGTAGCGTAGAAGAGTTTCTAATGTATCAGTGTGCACTTAGAACCGAACGTCAACATCCCAACCCATCCTTCTTAAAATTGAAATACCTAAGGGATGTCAGGATATATGAAGTATATAGGTAATAAACACCAAGCAGGAAGTACAACTGACCAAAAAAAGAGCTTAAAAAAAGTCAAATATACAATCAAAACACAGAAGCTAGTTATACAGAACTTTAGTTGAGGGTTGCATTAATTATAGTTGAGGATGAAGACACTTATAACAATATGAACCTAGCAATGTATAGCTTCAACAAGGCGGTACTTAACCCTTTTCAAAAGTTATACCATTCAATTCTATTGGCTGCCCTGTGGTTTGAGTAGTTGCCCATAAAGCCTTTTGGCGCATGTGGCTAATATGTGAACACCTGCCATAGTGGAATTCTTCAGTGTGTTTTCACATATGAGCCACCATCAATCATGTTGTATTTAAGGGTGTTCTTCCCGTTCGTTGATGTAATAAACAATGGGAGCTTTTACTGGGTTTGTTTACTTCCTGCTCCTGTTGCAATGCCTTCAATACATATGGTTATTTTTAGCCATTGCAACAAGTCTTAATACTATGGTTCATTTTTCTATTTAAATGGATACTCCTTTTCAGTCAACTCATTTGTGGCTACAATCTCACCAACCCTTTCCTATCAAAAGCATCTTTCGAGTTGTCCCACTCACAAGAGCAGTTTCATAAAAGAACATTGATGCATTCCCGCAGCAGTGACCTTTTTCAAAGCCTTGTGTCAGCATTTGTTTTAAAAGGTGTGTTTGTAGTATTACATTGAGGATTTTGCTTAAGAAAACTTTGGTGTGTCTTCTGCATTTTCCTTTTTGAACGTTCTCTTGCGTATAAGATCCTTAGGAAAGTCTGTCGCGTTTATATGTTGAAAGCTGACAGTGAAATAATAAACTCCTTGATGTGCTGCATAATGGTAAAGGACAAATGCAACAAAAAAAGGTCTTCTTCTCCTTCCCTTTCTTTGCATCAAACAATCTTGCCCTTTGCTCCTATCTTCTGGCTTTCACAAACAATATAACACCTGAACATATAATCTCAACCCTCTGCATGTTCTTTGCTGCTTGTAGATCTATCTATAATATTGGCCTAGAAATGGATTCGTGAGCCAAAGAAGGTAGATCTTTTCTTTTGTGGGGGGGGGGGTAGCATATATTAATTATTAATACATATATATATATATATCTATAAGCAGTATCTCTAAATACATATATGTGAACACATAATATGGACGCACACACATATATATATATATATACATACACGCGTACAAATCACACACTCGTCGAAGGGCCCCCTTCGAGCGGGGTTGGGGAGATCGGTCTGAGCATTTTGTGCAGGTCTGAGCCATCAGAGATGAGGCTTGAAACTTCTTTTTGGCATAGCTTAAAGTCAATCGGTTTTCAGTGACAGCCCCGCGTTTGACGAGTTTTCACTCATGTTTCATGTTTGTACAGTGTTGATGGTTTTTGGCGAGCTTTCACTTGGGGATTTGATTGGCAGTGCTTGCTTGGAATCAGGGTTTGCCGTACCCGCAAGCTGTTGTAACTGCTGAAAAGCGTAGTGAGCAACAGGAAGACATGAAAGGGTCTCCTGCACAATGAATCGACAGGTAACAACTCGAATCAATCACTTCTGACAGTGCACGTCGTGTTCTTTTGTGATCTTTTTAAAGACCTTTTTGCTTTGTATTAATGACGAATCGAGGTCAACCAAGACGGATTGCAAGTCTCGAGACTGATACATGTTCATGCCCCATGGCTCGTGCCGCTGGCGAGCTTGGGGGGCATACCGATGCTTTCACAGAAGCAAACCACTTCTGGATCATGCGAAGTCCGGCAACTCTCCAGAAGTCCCACAGGAGCCTTTTGGGAGTTCAAGAGACTTTTCGATTGATCAGCACACGAAATACAATCCAAAACATCCTGTGGACTTCCGGAACTCCGGTGGTGCAGACGGATATATATATATATATTCCTTCAGTTGTAGAACTGATCCTGAACTCAGGAGCTTCTGGTCCCTGCCCAGATCCTTGCAGTGAGAAACCTGACTCCTAAGATCAAAGAGCTGAAGCTGCAGGTCGAAGAACATTCAGGCCCAGGATGCCCATGGTGCCACAATGGGCCCGTTGTTCTGGCCGGATGCCACCGGGTACTTGTACCATGTTGTCCTAGAGACATTTGGGGTGAACACATGTGGTTCATGTGTTTGTTTTCCGAGTCGCAGTTGGTAAAGAATCAACAGTCCCTGAGGCTTCACCTTCAAAGCAGGCAATTGGGTGGATTTCTTCATCGATCAGGTCCGCATTTTTTGTTGACGCATCAGAAGCAGTTCAGTCCAACGACTTGGACCAAGTGGACCTTTTCGGAGACCTTGAACCAATTGTTTCCTTATGTTTTTCACCTTGATGAATCTGTTCAACTTGACTCAGTGACTCACTTTTTCATCCTTCTTTGTCTTGTGAGGATGGTGTCAGCAAGGTGGGCGGGTACTCCATGTCATCCATTCCATCAAGTCTTCCGGAGCTACGCCTGGCGGTGAAGACTTCCCGCCATCCACCGGCCCAGTGGTGCCACACCTTGGCGCAGCCAGGGAAATGGGTGAAGTTGAGGCTTAGCGACGTGTAGCATCATGTAACCCTTGGTGGGAAGGGCTGGAAACTGGTTCCAAGCCAAGAGCAAACACATTGACACGTTAGCTGTTCAACTCCCATGTTTCTTTAATTTTCACCCTTCTGTTTACAGCAGTATGGACTGCGAGATGATACGCAGAAGCAGGGTGGTGACACAGTGCTTTCAAGGAAAGCTGGAGGCAGCTTCTACTTTGATGCGTACGAGCATGGAAGGCATCTGAAACATTTGATCTTCATTGCCGGCGGAATTGGCATCAATCCCATTTTCTCAATGCTGCAGGTTGGGCTCAATGAATTGACAGTGCTTTGCAGCAAACATAATCAAGGTAGAAAACCTCGAACTCGACAAAAGTCGACTAAGGACTCGAGCAAACCGAGTTGCTGATCCTCACTTTTTGGTATCTGAGTCTCACCCCACCAGCCCCTCAATATGTATGAAAAGAATGAATAAATCGTATATCTCAGAAATTTCTCCGCCCTCACAAATCCGGAAGGTAGAGCGCAGCTCTTTTCTGTTCTCCAAAATGCCTCAAACGTGCTTGATAGCCCAGTCTTTCGTCAGGCAAGGTCTCTGCAGACACCAGTGCACACGTAACAATGAAAGTCGTTTCGCTTCTGAACCTTGCGACGACACAATCGAAAGTATGAATCACGGGCGAATGCCAGAGAGAAGCCGACCCGAGTGGCCACTATCGCTATCAAAGCTCGGGAGGAAAGGTCTACGGTCAATGGACGGACATGGTCAAAAGGATTCACTGCGTGGATTCCACACAGTCACAAACAAAAGTGCATGTTCACTCACGCAAGGCTAAAAGGGATAAGCCCAGCGATCACCATGGCATGTCTTTAAATGCCTCTGCACTGTCACAAACCGTAGGGGTCTTTGTCCATCAAACCCCATGCACAAACCTGGAGAGTGTACCAGACAAGTTGCATGAAGGACTGAAACACCGTACCTGGCAAAAATCAATCGATCAAGCCAAATGAAGCAAAACTCAAGCCAGCAGCCCTTGCGCTTCCTCGCCCGAATGCTTAGGGAAGGGCTCTTGCCAGTCTTGCATGTTCTGGGGTTTCTTCCGTTGAACGAAATTTGGGATTGGTGCTTGACAACAATGGACTTCCTATCAGTGTGCAAGAACTTCCGACTCCAAAAGTGTCCCACACAAGACTGTGCCACCAGAGCGTCCAACAATAGTGTCAAGCCAAAAGTGTCCCACAAGAATAGCATGTCGCACAAGAGTGCCCTCCTACACGAATGTCACGCAAGACTGGTGTTTGCCAGTGTTTGGTGTCTGAGATATTCGTTCGACAATGTGTTGCATTCGGCTGGCGGTGCGTGCAATCAGGTTCTTTCGGAGGATTTGTTGACAAATGTGTAAAGACTCCTCCATGCTTCTCCTCCTTCGCGTTAGCCTCTTCCTTCGCCTTAGCGGCGCTTGTTTGCCGTCGCAGGAGGCTTTGCACGACCAGCACGAGCTTCGCAGTTTGGAACGCATCACGCTATTGTACTCTGCATCAACGGCCGACGAGATGGCTTACAGGTGCCAAAACAAGGTTTCCAAAGGGTACCCTTGAAGTTGTGACCTGAGATCCACCCAGAATTATATACTTTAATTACACAGATTACACATACATAAAGAAACATATGTACATGAATCGAATCAAGCAAGCAGTTCCTGTTGGGGTTTGCAACGTCGCTTCATTGTGCGAGGACGGATTTGATGGCCTTGGCTGCAACACATCCTTTGCTTGACTTGGAGCTCCGCGTCACACGAGATGAGACCTGGCTGGGTGCCCGTGGGCGTCTTAACATGGAGCAGCTGCGGCGACACCTGGGAGAGGCCCAGCCAACACTGTTTTTAACATCTTTTAACGCACGTGGGGCTCCTGGCTTTACTAGGAGCAAGGACGCTACTTGTGGCTCCTGGCATCGCAAGGAACAAGGACATCTCTACTAGTAACAATAAGATACATGTATCTTATTTAACAAACTCATGGAGTCCACCTGAAGGTCGTTTGTGTCGCTGGCGTCGATCAAGATGTGGTCGTTTGGGACTCGAGGTAACAGATAGCTTCTTTTGTGGTTTCTTCCATTCTCTCTGCCTCTTTCTCCTCACTCTTACTTTTTCATTCTCCTTTGCCTTTACATCTGCTTCTCCTTTGTGGGTCGCTATGGTTGCCTACTTTGACATCGCTTGAGCACAGACCTGCCACACCTGAAATGACACGAACGGGCGCCATCACGCATGGTGAAGGACTTAGCCGGGAGAGTCGCCAGCGTAGACGGCCCTTGACAGTTGGTTGATGAATAGAAGGGATAAATACTCCCCGGTCTTGGTTCACCAAGAGGTAAACATGGTCCCTGGCATCCACGCCAGGACAAGCGATTGGTTTATCTTTGTGGCCCACCAGCAATGACTGACCAGCTTGTGGAAGACTTACAGAGAGAAGGCCTTGCAATGTCTGACTTGCGCTACGAAAAATGGTGGTGACCACCCCTTTCAGCTATTTGCGGCTGCCAACGTAGCCAAGTTTCCATCGTCCAAGACACTTGATTTATTTCAATGGGCGCGCAAAGTCGTGTCCACACAGTCTGGCGGAACTTCCGCTAAAACTGCGTGAGTGCAACGTGACGTAACGTGCCCGGGTGAATTTTGCTGGCGGGTCTCACTTCGCATGCTCCTGATGTACAATCTAGCACAGTTCTTGTTGGGATCTGGCACCGGATTTTCCAGCCAGGCCAACAGCAAAGCATTCCCTCTCGGACGAGCGCCCGCCCGAGTGCCCTGTGCCGCCGTTGGCGACGCCCCGCCCGTCCACGCCGCTCCGCGGGGAAGCCTGATGAGCCTGCGTTGCTGATATTGATGACATGGACTCCTTTGACATGAGACCACAGTGAAACACTACGATGGTGCCACTTAGCGACATCATCTGGGCCCCAGGCTGAACCCTCCGACTCCCTTTTGTCGGACTGTGCAGTGAGAGATGGCACTAAGGTCGCAGAGAAGTGCCGAAGGTATTCAATGCATGGAGCACCCCAAAGACACAGGAGGACAGACAATGTCGGATGAGAGTGCAGGTCTTGGGCAAAGCATAGATTATCATAGATGAGTCGGATGAGCGGGTTGAAGGACAAACACCTCGGAGACAGGTAAGAAGGGTATGGGTATGGTATGGGCTTGTTTAAGCTACCGGCGCTGTTAACGACCAGATGGCAGAATACCATTTTTATGCTTTCTTTGTACAACTTCCCTACTAACTGGGTCTTTGACATTGTGTTGTTAACAGCGTTGGAGCTGCCACTGCCACGTGCCATTCTGAGTCCACCGGGCCTTTAACAGCGCCGGTGCCTTGTTTAAGCCTAAGTCAAAGCAGAACTCGATTCGGTTCAGATGAAGCAGCCAAGTAAAGACCAAACGGGAATGCCGGTCCATTTGGAGATTGAGCACGGTGCCACTTTAAAAGTTGGACTCCAAAAGGGAGACTATGGCACTATGGGCTGTTTCCCCAACTGGAAGTTCTTCCCGCTCTTCCAGACCGCCAAACCAAGCTGCAGCGTTGTTTGCAGAAAGTTGCCGAGAGAGCGCAAGCACCGGAAGCAGAGGCAGTTCCTTCTCTCCTTCGATTTGAACTTGCTTTTTCTGGGTTTTTGGATGGTTTTTTCATGGAACAAGGAGTCATTTGCTTCGTCGTCAAGAGTTCACGAGCTTTCGATCTTGCACTGAACTATGCATCGCAAAAACCGCGCTGCAGTTTCAGTGCGTGAAAACACGTGCGGAACATGATGGAACTCTTCTTGGACAGGACATGACGAGACCCAACAAATACATGGGAGTCGTTCTAAAACCCGTGTAATGTTTTTGGTGGACGAGTGACATTCTAGCTTTTTGAAGTTATGTTTACCTGCAGGGGCGAAAGGATGCGAGAGCGCGGCGAAAGGTTTGGCGAAAGGCTAAACTTGATAGACATATATCATAGATAATTCATACATGTATGCACATGTTGTGCATATATCTTTGTGTCTAAAACAAACGGAGAGAGTGGTTTTCATGCAAGGCGTGATAGGCAGAAAGCTGCAAGAGTAGTGGCTCAGCATGTAATATCCCCAAGGATATGTATCACCAGCTTAGTGAACACCCCAGCATGTCATAGATGCGTACGAAAAGAAACAGACAGCAATAAGAAATCTTGCAGACGGATCACAAGAGAAGATTCAAGTATCAAAATTCCCCAAACCGAACTAGTAAGTAGCAGCGGCACATTTATTGTTGCATATACGATGGATGAACTTTTGTGGCCCTACTCAGATCCTCCACCGAAAACGAAACAACGAAAATAATATAATATATCCTAATACATTTTACATTGGGGGCGAAAGGATGCGAAAGATCCGCGAAAGCGCGGCGAAAGAACAATTTTTGGGAACCATAATTTTGAACAACCCCCACATACAAAATCATACAAGTACAACAATCGCCTCCGTTCATTTAAAGAGATCTTCGTCCATCCAAGGGTATCCCAAAGAGACCAAAAAGAAAGGAGACCACGCTGTGGGTCGTGTTGCTGTTTGCTTTCTTCGTGAAGCAAGCGACCATCAAGAGCGACGCATGATATGCCGCAGGTGACGACCAAAGAGAAGTTGCCCATGGCTTCGGGGCCGGTCGAAAGCCCGGGAGGTCAATGCCTTGGATCGGCACCTTCGAATCTCGCAACTGGATGCGAGACGAGACCCGAGGTATCCCACAATCCGCTCGAGAACGGCGGGTTCCGGGCTCCAAGTGTTCATCCATTCATACTGTGCTTAAAATGGCGAGAGTTTGCAACATTCCTAGCCATTGAATTCCCTCGAACGTGTTTTCTTTTTTTGAATCAGACGTTCTATATCTGCAGAGTCAGACGTTCTAGATCTGCATACTATATGCATCTATATGCCATGTCACAGTTTAGGAAAGTGCGATCATGAATTTCAGGCATGTTGGATAATGTTGCTGAAACCTGCAAAGATAAATAACCCCCTCAAAAGCGATAACCATGTCGCCGCAGGTGTTGGATCGTCATTTTGAATCATGTCTTCCGTGTTACGAGATGTTTTGACAAGCACTCATGTGGGATAAGTCATGCTGAACCTGAGGCGAACTGGGAGCAGTCATCCGCTTCAAGACCACAGTCAGCCGCCATGTCGAGCCTCAGACAAAAGCCAGAACGCGATTTTCCCAATCAAAGAAGCAGCTAAGGTATAGGGTATAGGGTGTTCTAGACTTCTTGATTTGGGAACCTCAAAGCATCTCAAAGCCTCCACTACTACGCTCAAAATCTCTAAGTCAGGTCTGGATCTGACAGCGATTGTAGACGACATGAGGCCGAACCTGGGTTCCACGACCTGCTGGCGGCCTGGTGAGCACAGCCTCCTGCGAAATAGCCACACCGGCGGTGTTTTTTTGCAGCAATGTCCCAAACGATCTCCGAAATAGAGCTGAACAGATTTGAAAGGGCTTCTGGAGATTTCTTCCAGCAAAAACCAACCATCTTCAGTTTGCAATTCATGAGTGTGTCGAGTTGATGCTGCGAGAAGTCGCATGATGCTGCGTGAAGAAGTCGACGAGCCGAACGGACAGCTTCCAGATGCTTCCAGGCTTCAACTCCATTGTTGGCAAGACCAAACTCGATGTGACGGAGGCATGGGACCTCGCACGGTGCGAGGTCGGCACACGCCTTCCGCGCCGTGCGCTGAAGGTCATGATTCGCCATGCGAGTATGGGACGCCAGGTTCGTGGCCTAAGCACTGCTGGAGAGGTAAGGGATCAGATAGCATCAAAGGCACCACAACAAAACAAATGATATTGTTTTTCAATACATGTCCCAGGAATGGTTGCAATTATATAGTGTTCAAGTGCAGATGTGAGCTTTTGTCTGAGGGTTTGTTACGGTTTGTTTCTCTCATTTGTTGCAAGCTCCTGTCTTGACAGGCTTGGAAAGGACACCTCAGTATAGTGCGAATCACCACACAGATCAACAGAGAGCACGTGGTGCACATGCCTGGCAAGCCAAACACTCGCAGCACACTCTTGCTATCATGAACAGCTGACGTTGAGAAGAGCACCATGCCAATTTGAAATACACATGCAACAAGCTCAACCGAATTGATGTGCACTTTGGCAGTAAGTCAAGTGTCGATGACCCCGAATGATCCGCATGGCCAACAGGAATCTCGCATGCAGCCCTTGTGGCGACAAATGTGGTCTCACAACACACATGCTCTCGGAAAATGTAGCCGATCACCTGCGTTTGCTATCGTTTGCTTCGAGGCTGAAATGGGGCCCCAATGGAGCCCAGGTGGCTTGGCGTCGAGGAGGTCCGTCCTGAACAGACTTGGTGGTTGGCCCAAGGGGTTGGGTCGGGTTGGAATCGGGGACGACCAAAAGTTGCAAAGAAAGATGCAACAGTTTGGACGAAGCATCATGATGAAGCATGTGCTTGCAGTACTATGTGCTTACTATGGCTTGGTCTCCAAAGACTCATCAAGCAAAAGCATCTATGATGTGATATTCCCCAGATAGCTGAAAGATGCTGAAAGCTATAAGGCGACGGCCAACGGATTGGGCAAAACTATCCCTGCTGCTCCGACTCTGACCCTTATCGCCGTGGCTGCTTCAAGTAGTGGCTCAAATTTATTGTTTTGCCGAAACTATACGAACTCTAGGGCCCTAGGGGTTCTTATTTCTCTATGATTTGCATTGATTGGGTGGCTGATCAGCGTTTTGCTCCTTGCTGCCGCTTGTCCTCCACTTCGATTGCCGCACATTTCTCCTCATTTGTTTGCCTGTGCGATCGGCGCTTCGATTGCCGCTGTGACCTTGTCTCCTTATTTGTCTCCCCGCTTGTCCCTCCACTTGTCTCCCTATCTCACTTGTTTGCTTGTGATCAACGTTTTGTTCCTGTGGCCTTCTCCCCCAATTATTTTTTCCACGACCAGATGTGTGGAGCCACGTGCTCTCATAGAAGCTCTGATGGGATTTATTTTCGTTATATTGATGTTTATTTTATTGTTCCAGGTGCGTTCTTAGAGTGGCATGCCGGTGTAATTTTGTACATATTGTTGTCATCTCCGGAGGTTGCTGTGGCCTCAATCAGTTGCAAGATTTGCAAGCACGAGGTGGACGATCTTGGAAACATTGCCAGGATGGCCAGCGTTTTGACCGGCAGGGCCTGATTCCTGGAATTGCCCGCTGCAAGCTTGTAGCCTTCGGTAGACTCAACACATTTTTTCGGTTTCACGAATGTTTCACCAGAGAAAGCTTCGAGGCAAAATGGAAACGGTGGTTTTAGGAGAGGAGTTTAGCTTTTGTGCAGTACCCACCTGCCATCTATGCAGATGCGAACTGTACTTTTGTTCGAAATGTGTGAACCTCGAAATATGTGACCACATTCTGTCACATGCATTGCAAAGATCTTGACTCATCGGACAATACACGACAATATCGTCCTTGATTCCGTCCCTTTGGCTCAACCATGCTCAATCACAAGCTTCAATCGGCCGCCGATTTCGGCCAGTGAATGCGAGTCGTGAGCCAGTTCGTGAGCCCCTTCGTGAGCCCATGGGTGGACTGGAAGTCCATCAAGTTCTCCCTTATGATTCCTGGTATCATAGGTCCCACTGTATTCGATTCTCCTTTTGGGATTCGATGTGTTCGGCAGATGATAAATATCTGTGGGCTTGGTCTACCGTGCAGTGATCAGGACGCAGGAAGCAGATTTCTTTGCAACTTAGATGCCGCATGGAGGCTGAATATGGCCAATACTTCTTGTCGAATTACAGGAGAGGAAGGGGAGATTGTCCTGACCTTTCATGTGAACTGAGCAGTGTGAGAAGAAGATGAAAGGTGAAGGACCTCGGGTCACCACACGTTCCTCGATATGGGCCGGCCACCACATGTCAGGAGTGCTTTCTTGCATTGGGATGCTGACGGAGATGACCATCTTGTTGAGGCCACCCTTTTGGGAGTCCAGAAAGGGAAGGCACTGGGCACTGGGGCACAGAAGGTTTCCCCCTTCGCAAGTACCTGGTGCTATGGATGTTGAACGATGTCGATTGTTGTTGGCCCATGTTGGCTCTGGTCCTCCCTATTGCAATACTGTAGTATTGCAATGCACATGATTCTCCTGGTACATTTGCACATTTGACGGGATCGGCCAGGACCAAAGCGAAGTCGAGGCTGAATTCTCTTTGGACCTGTGAGATGGGACATGAATGGTGACTCAAAGTCTTGTCCTATTTTTTCGAAACCCTTTCGCTGGTTGAATCACATTTTTTAAACAAAAGCATCTCACTACTAATTGTTCAAGAGCAGTAGAACCAGTCGGGATTTCTCGAACGGTGCTTGTTGGTTTGATTGAGGCGGTGAATGGATCCAATGCAATCTGTGAGGAGAGAGCATCGGACCATATTGGATCCAATAGTTCAAGAGTTTCAGACATTTGCTGTCATGCATCTCGTGAAAACGTTTTGGAATGTTTTGGATCTATTTGGCTTCTGCTTTCTTCTTTTGCCTCCGATGTTTGATCGTGTTTGCTCTTTTTTTTTTAAAAACGTTTCTGTGGTCTATTAAGTATATTGAAACAGCATAAAACAGTTCTCTATTGCTTTCAATGTACAATTATGTCATGATATTTAATGTGTTCGTATCGTATGTTTTCTTGTTTGAACCCTCTCATCATTGGTGTTTGGCATTCTCGTGTTGGAGCTGTTTGCAAGCGATTCGCAGTTCTTTTACATGCACTCGAGAGTGGGCCATGTCCAGGATGTGGATGCTTTGCCAGCTTTGCCAGAGGCAAATGAAGGCATGGAGTTCCAATTAGTAGCGTCCTTGCTCCTAATAGTAAGGCCAGGAGCCCCTAGTAGCGTTCTTGCTCCTAGTAGCGATGCCAGGAGCCCCTAGTAGCTTCTTGTTCCTAGTAGTCATTCTGAAATTGCTTCCCAATATTGCTTCCGTAAAGCTCTACACTCTACACGGTTCTTGAGCCGTCAAGCTTGCACCATTATTATTGCAGGCTACTTAAGAGCAATTTCTGGCAGATCTCCAAATTACAAATTACCTTTCAGCGCCATCCGAGAGGTGTGGCGGACACCCACTCCGACCTCCCAAAAGGACCGCTGCTCGTTCGGGAGTGGCCCGCCGCGCCGGAAGCCAGTCCGGTTGGAGGCCGGAAGCAGAGTTAGTTAGATGTGTCGAGCGGTTTTTGGAACAGAGATCGAATATATAGAGTTATATGTATTGGAATAGGATGAACAGGAGAGTTTATCAAAGACCTACGTAAGCAAAGGCAAATCATAGTAATCATAGAATTCTATATGTAGAGTTACTCTGCGAGCTCCGGCCTTATGAGTTTCTTTGGTCTTGACTTGGCCTTGTGAGAAAATCACAAGGCCAAGAAGCCGATTTGACGACCTTTGGAGCTGATGGAGTGGATCCCACTGAGCTGCAGAGGCGCCGTTCAGCCACTTTCCGTACAGTATCCAGAAAGTGTCACTGACGTGGACATGATCTCACTCCTCCGTAGTTGCAGTTCGTGCCAGTCAAAGCCACGAAGTTTGAGTCATGAATTGACCATGCTTTTGCGGAACTGCCATGGTTGTTGAAACGGCCATGGTTGACCCTGACACTGACACTTTGATGACTGCCGGCACTGCCCAGGAAGCTTCAGGACCTTGTCCCAGAGCATGTGGCCAAGAGCTCAAAATCAGCGACCGGTGTGGCGAAAGGAACGGGTTGGGTAACTGCATGACTCCCAACCGGTTCTTGCTGGGGAATAAGATCATGACTCTCAACTACAACTATAGAGATAGTTTAGGATCCAGCTACCCTCATTCCACAAGAGTCACACCAGTCAGTCTATTCAGCAACACTGCCCTTTTCTGACCAACGCCAACGGACCTCTTGGACATTGATGGACCCCGAAAAACACGGTGCGACACCTCAGAATCCATCCATTTTGTGAGGTCAACAAAGAGGCGTGTTGGAATTCGTGTTGGAATCATCCTTGTCCCATCGATGTATGATTTCGTTGGGATTTCTTTCTTTCGCTCACACGAGCACATTGATTGTCAACGTGCAGCAGCCATCAAACGGCCTTTCTCCCTCGCCAAAATGATCAACTTTTTGTTCAGAAGTGGGCAGCTACGTTTCGACTTGCAATATCGACCGGAGGAATCATCCATGATCATCATCGCATTTTTGCTTCACCTGCACTGTGCGTTCTTGCCCAATGCCGTCTAATGCCCTTCAGCCATGATAAAGACTGGTCAGTGGATGTCAGTTGCATTAGACTGAAGACCTCTGGTCACCCCCCCCCCTCGCGAGGCCACCGAGGAGTCACCCAAGGAGCTTCGCTTCAGTCACGTGGAGCAGGCGCAAGTCATCCATGTGTGTAGGATATTGACTCGGCATCCAAGTCATCACGGTATGGCCAAGTCATCTAAGTCATCTAAGAGATCCACCCTGGAAATGATTTGCCTCTCCATTGCACCAAAAAAAACACATCCTGACCCAGTAGTGCAGAGTGTTAGCAGGACTTTACCTAGTGAAGCGTGACATGGGACACGGCCCCTGTACTGCTTTGTTTGTTCAATTCTCAATGGTCAAATCCTGCAGAAGTCCGTGATTTCGGTGTCTAGAAAGCCACAGACACAGACTCTGTATTGTCCAAGAACTTGGCTGTTGGGAGAAACAGTGGATTGAGAAATGCTAGAGTTGGGCGTATACTACTAAATGCATCTAATTACTGTATATGAATTCCAACATGGTTGCAATGATGTATTATTCATACCTGAGCAATGCAAAGTTTATTCACGCCGCTCCGCGGCTAGGTCCGCCCGCACCGCCACGAAAGAATAATAGATATATATGCAAAACATTGATCTTCGACAGTCCATTCCGTGCTGTAAAACACAGTATTTTTTTAATACCGCCGTCACAGCCGGATTCTTCCATCTCGGCAAAGCACCGTGATTGACGGAGCGAGGTTTGTGACGTAGACGTTGCCGAAAACACGACTATGTACCGTATTTTACAGTGTTTTTACGTTCTGTGAGGCAGAAACCACTGCAAATATCGACGTTTTTGAGCTTGCCGTGGCCAAAAGCACCACTTTTTACCATATTGTTCAGTGTTTGTTATGCTGTGCGAGGGAGAAAACACTGTAAATATCGATGTTTTTGAGCTTGCCGTGGCCCAAAACACTGCTATTTACAGTGTTTTTGAGCCTGCTGTCAAAAAAACACTGCAATTTGCGACGTTTTCAACAACGTGGCCGCCAAAAACGCTGCTATTTGCGAGGGGAATTTACAAAAACACTGCAAAAACCAATGTTTTTGCCCAGCAAAAACGGCGAAAACTGTCGCCCAAACAGCTCCGAAATCGCAAAATCTGGTGCCCCGGCCGCCCGACAAGAGACATGAAAAAAAAAGAACGTCTTGAAACCGAAATTCGAAGACCAAATGTCAAACAACTCAATGTTTTTTAACGTTTATCCGATTCCGGGCGGGCGCACGTGGTAACTAGTCCATTCCGTGCAGCAAAACACAGTATTTTTTTAATACCGCCGTCACGACCTATCAAAACCTCACGGTTTTGGCCTCGAAAAGGGTCCCCCCCCCTCCCCACAGGTAAACCTGACCTTACAGTTGTTGATGCCATCCGGATGATCACGCCCTGAGCACCTTCGGTGCGGGCGGATTTTTGAGCACAAAAAGGGTCTGCACTCGGCCATCGTATAGCCTTCCCTTCTGTTTTTGTCCAACATAGTTCAAACTTGAGTGCATCCTGACGAGGGTTTTCCCTTCTGCAATACGAATTCTGCTGGACATTGTGACCTAGAGTCTTTACCCATGCGAATGGGGTTGACAAAGCCAATGTTAATTGGATGACTATCCCGTCCTGTGTTCAATCTTTCCTTCCAAGTCAGTCGTCCATGATGTCTCTGTATGTCTCTGTTGTGCGTTGTGTTTTGCAAAACATATTGTCATATTGCATCTTGATTGATGTATCTTATATTTTGCATCAAGGTAATCCCCGGATCAAGCGAGGTACAGGAATCGGAATCTGGGCCTTGGGGCCATGCTGCTTCCACTCCTCACCAGACCCGATCTTGAGCGTTCCTGGTTACGTAAACTGGCTTCCGCATCTCGAGGCGTCGAAAAGACGCGTCTGTGATAGCCAACCACGCTGGTTTATCTGCAACCACGCTGGCTGATTTGGCCAAATTTGTTTAACATTTTTTCTTCACTCTTCTGACTTTCAAACCAGTGAATCCCGTCCAGCGAACGGGCAGCCTGACGAGCCGGGCAAGAGCCGTTCGAGCATCCGAGCGCCAAAGGCCGCCATGGAGCACCAGGGAGGCCTCCGTGAGGATCGTCTCCCCCCAACAATGGTCACGATCACGATGCAGCCACGAGCATTGGGTGCAGCCACGCGATTTTTCAGGGGTGCTGACTCCAACTGCCACAAGCTTCTCGAGTTGGACGTGATGACCAGTGAAGGTTGAGGCAACAGAGAAGAGGCTAGCGGCTTGCGGCTTCTTCATTCGTGGCAGTGAAACAGCTTGGCATCAGCTTGGGCTGTGCTATGATGCGCTGCCGTTCTGCTTTCTTAGCACATCAGTCCGTCTTTGGTAGTGGCCCCTCTTTTCCACATTCTTTTGCCAACCTGCGATATCCCAAAACCCGAGATTTCCCCCCAAAATGACGGGCTAGGAAACCCACATGTCACATGGCTGTCCATGCTTTCCAGTTCACCAAGCCGTCAGGTGGTGGAGCCAGAAGGCTGGACCGGCCGTGGCCGGGGATTGAAGAGTCCACTCCGACCCAGCTGGGCACCGCGGGCCGACTGGTGTCAGGTAGCGACTTCCCAAGCGCTCCTGCAGCAGTGCTAGCTGCTGCAGTTGCAGCAGCAGCGCAGGCAGGAAAGCCACACCATTCAGTCAATATGTAATTAAAGCAACTATAAATTATGGTCCAGATGCAGGACAGAGTTTGATAGACACATTGTGCTGGTTCAAAGCTGAGCACATTTCTTAGTTAATAGGTGCCTTTTCTGCAAGTTACTTCAGGAGCAAAATTCTGGCGAAGAGAGGCTGGCCACATTAGTTCGGTTGGGCCTCTAGGTGCTTTGCTGGAGTTTTCGAAGATTGTTCACGAGACGTCATGATTTCCGCCCCTGCAAAGTTCAGACCGTGAATCTTTGACCAATCTGTTCAAGACCCTTTTCCAACTGTTGAAGTGGACATGGTTGCATATATAGCATGAGCAACAGCACACGACAGAGTGTTTGATGACACATTTTCGAGTTATATTATATTTGTAGAGAACCACCCACAAACCTCCAAAGCTTAAAATTTACTGGGTGAAGATTCTTTGCGACTTGCAGATAGCTGTTAGCCGCCAGGATTGAGGATGTCCCGAATGGTGTGCCGCTGCTTACCTGCAGTTTTGTGGGAGGGCCAGGCTTCGGCTCTTATCACCTGGGCTACATCCAAACACCATCAACCGCCTCGCTATACACATGTATATGCAGATATGCATAGATATGCAGTATATAAGTACTCCCCTCCCCGGGGGAAAAAGATACACACTAAACTTGAGCGAGTTTCGTAAGGTTGCATAGGTTCAATATTATTGTTGTCGGATGATTCGTGTGTTGATTCTTTTAAACCATTATATATAATAGTAACACATGATATGCATCCACGAGCTGTTCCGAGGATTCTGGATACATGTTGCCAGGTTCGATTGTGTGATTGTTCCTAACCTGGCAATGGGGGCACCTCGTGGATGTGAAGCCAAGGATAGGCGAACGGTCCCCGATTCACGAGATGGTCCCCGGTGGGTTTGGTCGCCGTTCGTCTCGGTTCGTCCGGTCGCGAAGGCTTGGACTGGTCACCGGTCGTATTTGGTCGTCCTCCCACATCGCATGACTTGTCACCAGTCCAGAGTTTCCGATACGAACAGGACCGAGGCCGCTTGCTTCTTAGCTTATTTCGCTGAAAAGAAATGCAACCCAAAGCCGGGGCCGAGGTACTAGTTACATCTAGTTACAAGATTCACATGGAGGAGTCTAAGTGAGCAATGTGCGGCATGATGAGCCGAAATGGAGGCCCACTTGAAGCTTGCATCCCCTCAAATCACACCGCAAGTAACACGTGTAAGGGACAGTAACATATGACGAAGCAGTTTGCGCGCGCAGTTTGGTCAAAGTTCGACTGCAATGTGTTTTGGTTTCATCCTATGGGGTTTGGAGATCTTTGGAGCCAAATACAGAACTCAGAACAACCCACCAGCAGCTGGCAGCCGTTCCAGACAAACAAGTGCGATGCATTTTCTTGCCAAGGAAAAGAATATCTTTGGGACGCTGGTCTCTGAGCTGACTTCCGCACATTCAGTGCTTGAAAGCCAGTTTTCAAGTGAAGCCAGTTTCAAGCGTTTGCGGATCCTTTGACAGGTAAGTTTGGGAATACTTATGATCTCATCAAACCCTTATGATTTCTCCTTTCCACAGGTCCTGTCATGTCCTATCTGAATCCCGTGATATGATGCAACTAAGGAGTCGAGCATGAGGCATCGTGTGGAGCGAGGGTTGGGTAAGAGTTGAGAGCAGATGTTAGCCATTTGTGAGTGTGTGACTGTTTGTAATATCTTATTCTTAGCAAACAACAATATGACATCACTTTACTTATCTTTACTTACTGTATATCTTCAACATCTAGTCCAAGCACAAGAAGTCAGACATGTTGGAGGATATCTAGGATTTTGTGACGCATTGTCTTGCGGAATCTCCAATTTTCAGAGATTTCGCGACAGGCTGGGCGACGGCATGCCACTGAGCCTCCAACGCAGCTCGGTTTGAAGGGTTCGTGTCTTTGATTTGGCAGCCAAGACACGAGTTTTGTGTCCAGGAATTGTGTGTTTTGTGTCTAATCTGAAAAAAGTGAGTTTCGCTGCCCAATGCTACTTGCCCGCTTTCTGTACGTTCCAAACCAAACAGCTTGCCTTCCGCCTTTGCTTTCCTTTGCTTTCCGCCCTTTGGCCCAACCGATCTTTTCCAGGCCAACCGTCTCTGTGGTGGACATGGATGATGAGGTGTCCAGGCCTCGGCGCAAAGCGAATTCGGCAAAGAGGCCGAAAGAAAGGCGTCGAAGTCGAAGCGTCAGCAGAATTCGGGAGTCTTGGTGTGAACGGATTGGCGTTTTTTTGGGGCTTCTGAGAAATCACTTATACGTGAGCCCTTAAGTATATATCCTTAAGTGATCGTCTGGATGTGTGTTAAGTTACGTGTGTCTATATGAATCATATGAAGGTTTTACAATTGCTTTGTCATGGTTGGATGGTCGATTGGATATGATTGGACCTTTGTTCCGGTGCGTTCTCGCTGCAGTAAGCTCACTATTCATGGCAGGTGAGTAGACACGGCAGATGATTTTAAAGTAGGAAGATGTTGGAAGTACAGATTTCGTGATCTCTTGGAATGCGGTGATCCCTTCAACTGGGAATCACTGCCATTGGCTGGGAAAAAGTTCCAGTCTGTCATCTCGAAGCAGTCTGCGGACCTCAGTCAGTTGAGTTGTGGTCCTATTTTGATCTATTTTGAGCTTCCAGAATGACATCTCATGATTCAAAAAGAGACCCGTAAAAGGACTCGTTGTAGATATAACGCTGAGATCTTGCAGCGATCCTAAGTTATCGTTGCAGAGATGTTGAAGAGGTTTTCTACGGACACGGCGACGTCTACACAGACATTTTCTTGAGAGATCGCAAAAGCACTTAGCAGAGATCTTCTGCAGAGACCTTGTATAGGTCCACTCACATGGTAAAGGGATCTTGCAGAGGATGCAAAAAGGAGATCGTCCACTTCTACAATGTCCTTGCTGACGATAGCTTCTGACCAGCCGTTGTGTGCAGATTGGCTGGGGATCGTTTTGTACAGTTCCACCATCCGACTCTTTTTGGGGCTTTTGCAGGAAGAGGCTAGTCAACTAGCCATGCTGGTGTAAGAGAGATGTGCTCTACCCCAAGTGCCCTTGTTATTGCTTGAACATGCGTCAGCACCAGCGATAGCCTGAACATCGTGAAAAGTTCTATACCTTTGAACTCTGTAGTCACAGTTGAGGCACGTTCTACCTGTTCGTCTAAGGTCACGACACATTGACAACTTCTTTGGAGATGAAGAGGTCCGGTTGTTGTGGTTTTGTTTGTGCATCTTCAATATGTCAAGGTTTTTCGCAAAATTGCTTGTCCACTTCTGCATGCTTCTACTGTCGGAAGCCGGCTTATGATTAGTGATTGGAGGCCATTGCTATTAGTTAGAATATTGACTAATTCCAAGGATGTTTTTTTGACTTCAAGTCTGACAGAGTTCCTTGCCGTACGTGGGACGGACATCCGTTTTACGCAAAACGCGTCGAACGCGTTGCACGCTTTCGAAGTGCTTTCGACGTCTCTTGCATCTCTGCATCTCTTGGTTCATCTCAGCCGGACTGAACGAGGGGCGTGAAAGACAATGGCATTTTGCCTGCACAAGGTTGCGAAGGGATGTGTTTGCGAAGGGCTGCTTGTGCCTTCACAAGCTTTTTTAGTTTGAAGGCTTCCAAGATGTTCCAAGGCCGGCATTGAAACTATACCTTAGTTTCAGAGTCGGCTGTATAAGAAGAATTGTTGTTCAACCTCTTCAGCGCAAATGTTTTTTTTTTTTGCACGGTATTTGTAAGAGTGACTTGACAGTTGCCCACTTACAGTGACGCTTGACTCTTGACGTCACCCAGGCCAAAGAAGGGCATGCTTTGTTATTATATGTTGTGATTTTTGAAGCATGGTTACGCTGTAAGGATCATCAAGGGTCTACAAGGCAAAACGGAGGCCACGGCCAGAATCCGGAAGTGCAAGCTTACAAGATCTTACAAGTTCAAAAGCGATACGGCACAACTGAGGCAGTTGATGATCCTCCTCCACAAGGCCGGGGGGGACCAAGCTGGACCTGCCTAAAGTATCCTAACATGTTAGCTTTCCAAAAGGTGCTACGAGAACCTCGCATGCTCCTGAGCAAAAGTACAATGAAGAGGTCCAGTTTTTTCGTACATGGGAGAGTGTACTTTAGGGAGTAAGCTCTGTTTTTGTTCCACGCTTGAATGATCTTGAATGACCACGTTTATCGGGGTTTCGCACTAGTCAATAGTGAGAGATCTTTCCTTGATAGGGAATGAGCATTGTGGCCACTCCACGTGGAAGTGCCAGCCCACTTTCCACCTAACAAGCTTTCGATGAAGCATTTGCCTTGCAGGAGCCTACTCAGCCTACTCTGTCCCAGCGTCTTTAGAGTCTCTTTGACCTGCAAGTTGGAGACGGCCAAATGGACTGTGTGGCGGGTGTGTGGCATACCTGTCATCGCTTAGTTCTGCTATCAAGTAAGTTGATTGCAGATGGAGGCGACGACGAGTAAGAAACGTGTGTGATTTGTAGCTGCGGTCACAAATCTGAGGCCCATTTTTCTCTCCCTTGTGGACGTGGATGATCAGGTCGCAAACAGCAAATTGCGGAACCTCAAGTTTGTTCACTAGTCGAAGCACTGTAAAGCAACTTGTGGACATGCTGGGTGCTAACTAACATCTTCACAGATCATTAGGATGCTCCTTGCACACAGCTCCTGCATGCTCCTGCTGAACAGCAATCTTTTGTGATGCAAGAAGAATGGATTTTGTGTATATACATCAAAGCAGGAATGAAGTTGGTCTTGTATGATTTTTAGGCGTTTGTTACTCTTGATTCTCGAGGTGTTTTGGCATTCACACCAAGAACTCCTTTGTTAGCACAGAGTCAGCCAGTTCATCTGGCAATGTCTGATGTGGTCGCGAGGTTATTTCTGGAGTACGCTGCAGTGAGACAGCCCGGACTCTCCGCTAAGCGACAAACCAGACTGAGTTGATTCACCAAAGTTTGACGAGCGATGTCAAGACCTGAAGAAGGTCGTATGGGGTCGTATTAGGTCATATGGGGGTGGTTGGATTCCATTTCATTTGAGTGATGCATTCACGGATCGGACAGATCTGGAGTGGAATCAACATGCAGCTTTTCTCCAGGATGCGGACCCTGCCATCCTCGCACCTGGGCGAGCATCATGAGGATGATGTTAGGATCCTTAAACATGTACTGTACTTTGTAGTATTGGTTCTTTGTGATATATAAGCTTCATGTTTGGACAAGGGTTCCAATGACCGGGAGAAGACGCCTTCTATGAGCTTGATGATCATGTATGACAAGTGAACTTGGGGAGGTCTCTCTACAGGTCTTCTTGAAAGCAAGTTTGCCCTGTTCTTTTTGGCTGGGGGTCAAAGCCCGGACCCCTAATTCCTGGTAGTCAATTCTTATTTGACCTCCTTAGTAGTCTATTCTTTTCATGTTTGACGGTCAGCCAGGGTCCCCCGGGTTTTGACGCTGCGGCCTTCCGTTTTGCGAGGTATGATATGGACCCGAAGCTGAAGCGATGTGACCCAACTCGCTCCCAGGCCGACCATCAGTTGGATCGGCATTTGTCACCTTTAGAGCTGCAGTTACTAGGCCCACAGGAATTCCGGAAGGATTACAAGTTTGATGTTGTGCTTACGGTAGCAACAATAGGCGAAGATCTTTGTTCTGGGCATGAAGAGTGCCAACAGGATTTGGACCCATTCTTCTTTGGGCATGCAAGTGCCAACAGCATGAGAGCTTGTAGAGAGTGGGCTCAAGAATTTGCATCAAGGTCCCAGACGACCACAGATCTTCGACGTTTGTCAGCGAATCTCAGGCCAGAAGGATGAGCAATCTTTTGCAGGAGCGCAGGGGCTTTGCTTCCGAGGCAATCATGTTTCCGGGTTTGTAGAAGTAGTATAACACAGCATCAACTCGCCAGTACATCAACTCGCTAGTATATGAGCCACCGACGAAAAAGAAGGCTGCAATTCCCACACACCTGGCAACAAACACCTGCAACTGGCACAAGAAGCTAGTAGTAACAAGTGCCACGCTAGTAGTAGCAACAAGCAAGTAGTAACAAGTGCCACGCTAGTAGTAACAAGAAGCTAGTAGTAAC